GGTTAGATTAGGTTGGGTTAGGTTAAGTTAGGTTAAGTTAGATTTAGTTACGTGTGTTTTTCTCTTTCGGCGTAAATTAAAGTGTCGTTACGTTCTACGAGACATCTTTCATCGCATGTCTGACCAATGAGAGACAACGTCCACCCTTCTGCTCGGAACCGTACCAATCCCAAATGAGATACTACAGCACCGTCTATAGTTAATTAAACGGTTCGAAGACTCTTTCCAGCGGTTCGGAGTCTCAGAGGAGCAAATGGCTATCCGCACAAGGTCGACCCGTCCGGCACAAGAGGAATAGAGAGAGAACTTTGCACTTCATTGATCGTATACCTAAAGGTTATGTTTAAGTTAGCAGTGAACTACATCTCTGACTCTCCCCCTCTCTCTCTGTATCTATCTTTAACTCTGTCTCTTTCTTCACTCTAATCTGTTTGCAATACTAAAAGAACGAAAAAATAAATGAGAAGAGCAGGTAAAAGAAAACTGAAACGAAGAAAAGAAAAGAAAAGCAGGAACAAAAAGAAGGAAGGAAGGAAAATGATGACGAAGAGAGAGACAGAAAGAGAGAAAGAGCTAAAGAGAGAGAGGCGTACCTTATAACATTTTAATCGAACAGTAGAGAGCAACATAACACACCTGCCTATTACTGTATTGCTTCATATCGGTTCACTGCACCCGCCATACAGCACCTCCCTGTGTAGTTGCCACACAGATGGGGTGTAAAAAAACGACTTTATTTCAGTATTTTCAGTTATCCCTTCGCAATCTGTGTCATTTTTCAGACAAAAAATGGAATGTCATTTACTTTTAGATTTCAAAATCGAAATTGACGGTCAGAATTAAATGTCGCTGCCTTTTTCGGTTGCAGAGTTTGTACAGTATTTGATATTTCCATATGCGATTATCTGTATGTAGAGCATGCAATATTCTTTCTGTATATCTGTTTGCATTTTTTACCAGTATTAATGGTATTATTTTCTTTTAAAGTAACGATCAACATTCAACGTCGAAGCCTTTACGAGTCATAAATCTGCAATAATATATTCAAGGTATAACTCACAAATAAATAATCGTATTTATATTCACGCAAACTCTCTTTTATTTTTGCTAACGTGTAACTTACTTAATTCAACTTACTAAACAAAACAAAATGAAGTTACGCCTACCATAATTGACACGCACACTGAAGCCTATACAGTACATTAAAAAAAAAAAGGTTACAACTCTTTTCTTCTCCCAACTTCCGGATTTTCTAAGATTTTTAGGTCAAATTCTCCTTTAACTAACTGACTTCCTTAACTTGCGACACCTAAATGAATTCCAAGAGTTTCCTACGTGAGAAAGCATCATCTGACTGCTTCACTTCAGCTACGACACATACAGCATACGTCAGGCCCAAATTAACGTCGGAATTGCATTGAAATTCTACCGTAACCTAGATGGGCTCTCCCGTACTCTGTCAGGGAGAAACATATAACATACGAATTAATGAGACGCCTGATCTAAATTAGGTTAGGTTAGATTAGGTTAGGTTAGGTTGGGTTATAGTAGCTTATGATTTGGTTAAATTAGGATAAGATTAGGTTAAGGCCACCTTAAGTTTGGTATGGTTAAGGATTGGTTTGTTTAGGTTAGATTAATACAAAGTTATGATACGTTACTTTAATTCTAGGTAATGTTTAGTTGAGTTAATTCTAGGTTATGTTAAGTCAGGTTAATTCAACGTTATGTTGGTTAGGTTAATTCTAGACTATGTTAAGGTTCGTTAATTCTAGGTAATGTTAAGGTTAAGTTAGGTTCAGAAAAAAGGTGAGACACGTGAATCAATTTTTCTCCAGACATTTGGAAAAGAACCAATGAGAAAATGTCACAGTCAGTTGGCTCGGGGTCAACCTTTCTTTCTGGCCTTAGCTTGTACGTATACATTAGGTGGACAGCCAGCTTGTTCTTCCGACTCCACCACCACAAGAATTTGGTAGCCGGTACATGTTTAAGGAGTCATTGCTATTTTTTTTTGTGTGTGTGTGAGTGTGAGTGTGTGTGTGTGTGTGTGTGTGTGTGTGTGTGTGTGTGTGTGTGTGTGTGTGTGTGTACGAGTAATTTTCATCTAGTTTGAGATAGGTGGGAGTAAGATACATTTTTGACAGCTCTCCTCTCAATCTTCCAAATAGTGAGGCAATCACCCAGTGACTCAGGAGTGAGAGCTATAGGATTGTAACTGATTATATGCTATATTATCAAATGAGCCCCAATGAGTCCTAATGGTCTCATAGTAATGGATCCCGGTCATTATACTCCCCATTCATAACAGAACCTAGGCCTTATAATCCCCAATCATAATGGGCCCATCTGACCTACTACGACCTGGCGAACACCTGGGTGAGTGGTAACACGTGAGTTTCCCTGACGTGTTCTGGTACTTGTTATCACTTGATCATTCGTTCAATAAAAGTTGTGTGGAGTCATTTAAACTACTGTACTGTACTAAGAACAGGTAATAAAACAAACTGGTGAGGATGTCGTTAGGCCAGATATTACGACAAACTGGTGGAGGTGTGGTCATACTACTATCACTGGCTCAAACCGCACATCAGTCACACACTGCCTCCTCATTGGGGATCCAAACCAGTGATCGGTAAATCACCAATACAGTACGATAACCACTCCGCCACCGTACACACGCCCATCAGATTAATGGTTATGTCTCTACACATATGTTTGGCAATATTGCAATCGGATCTGCTCTTGCCCATCTGTCTGACTAAATGGATTTAAGTCACTCCAACGAGTATTTTCCCCCAACTTTATCTGTGAGATTAATTGCAGATCCGCATATACAGTTTTATAGCCATAAGTCTGGTCTACATTTTGTACTTAAATAAATCTTATTTGGAGAGTTTAGGAGTTATATAATTTAATACGTAATGTCTGAGTAGTTCTGTGTTCTATAACTACGACTGTGGTGACAATTTTATTCTTAACTAATATGATTTTCTTTTTAAGTTGAAGCATTATAGCTGCGAGGATGGTTGTTAGCTTATCTTATGTGATTCTTTAAGTCAAAGTATTGGAGGTACAAGCTTTGTTTAGGGCTTCGTGCTGAAGTTACGTGATTTTTTTCAACAAAGTTGTATAAACCAAATGTTACTCGCAATAATGATTAGGGCTACAGGTTGATGTTGTTTATCAGATGGGTCAACTGCTGAGGTTATATGTACCTGTTTTTAGAGTGGAGTGTACTAGTGATAAATATAAAGGTCTTACCCATAATATTCCACATATAACCATGGATGTGGGTGGGTCATTGGGTGCTGTTTCATCTTAAATGGGTCACCGGTGCTAGTTGGTGCCTCGTCAAATTGAATACTCGGGAACTCGCACAGTTCCAGCTCGTAGTTTTATAGGCCACTCACCCTAGTAGTAGAGTAATAAAGGCTGGGATAATACCGTTATTACACCGACGTCAGTATACCTCTATATACCCTCTGCTATCAATAAGTAATACATTACGCTTATCCAACAGGGGACTGATAAAGACTGGGGAGCTATTACCCACAATAATAATACATTAAGGCATACGGTAACCAACCTAACTCCTGATACAGTTATGCAGTTTTATCCCACAAACAATACATTAGTTGAATGACAAATACAATCAGTGAGTATTAATTAAAAATAATAATATGAGAAGCCCAAATTCTATACAAAAATGGCATCGTAGGTTTTTCTCTTAACCTAACAGAACCAAAACTAATCTAACCTAACCTAATCTAACCTAGGATAATGCGGTCATAATTCAATGAAAAGAGAGACTCTTAATAGCCCATAAACCGTCAATTATCAGTACACTGTAGTTCCCTTTAAAACATACAATATACTGAACATCATGGCCATAACTTAACGCTCAGCCTTTATTAATACCCCGATTCCTCCGGTTTCGGGTCAAATGGGACTCAGTTCCAATGGGCCCCATTCCTAATGGGTATCAGTCCTAATGGGCCCCATTCCTAATGGGTCACAATGTTAATACCCGTTAGTCACACTGGGTCCCAACATAATCCAAACTAACCTCTGGGATTGGGAACCAATTCTAAAGGATCCGAATCCTAATTTTGGTCCCACTCTTAGTGGTATGTTTGGGCTAAGGTGGGACTTATTAGGAGTGAGCCCCATTTCTAATTTGGCGTGTTTAGTTTATGCTAGGGCCTATTGGGACTGGGGCCTATTAAGATTGGGAACCATTAGAACCGGGACCTATTATGATTGGGGACCCATCAAGACTGGGGCCCACTTGACCTGTACCTTAATCCCCCTAAACCTGACCTCTTCATCGCCCATTCGTCTTGGGTTACCGACAGCTGAAGTGAAGTTGCCTCTGACTCACGCCGGAAGGTTGGATGCGAAAAATTATCGCACGAAAATGATCGTTACGTTACTATCTTGTTATAGTTTGTTTTATCTGGCAATTAATTTATTTCACGAAGTCGGTGATTAAATATTTCTGGCGCGGTTTAATAGATGTGATCCCTGGTGGAGATTAAGGGAGAGAGAGAGAGAGAGATTCCTCGGCGTCAACGACTTGGGGGCGGGGAAGACGAGACAAGAGAATCTTTTTACAACATGAAATAGACAGATACAGAGGTAGAAAAATGTTGGTAACTTGACCACATGAGAGAGAGAGAGAGAGAGAGAGAGAGAGAGAGTTCTTTTAACAACCAGACCAAAATGAGCAAGCTAGCTAACTAAACCATCTCTCCACCTACGTCATTCCTGCCCCAGATACTGAAGCTACAGTATAATGCATTTGTGGACTTAAACAACCAACTACGGTACGAAATCAAAAAAAGAATTAAAAACTAACAAGTGACAAATTCCACAAATCTCTCTTCCTGCTCCAGTTATTGATGTTACAATGTATTACTACACCTCAACACCTAATTAGCTGTAAGTCATCAATAACTAATTCCTAAAGGAGACAAATCACTTTTCCTGCCCCCCAGATGTGAGGTGCTACGACGACAAGGCGGTGGAGATCACGGAGCTGCTGGTGCCAGAGTCCCCAAGAAGCGGCGACGACGTCACCCTCACCTGCCGCTTCCGTCTGGTGGGTTACAACCACCGCCTCTACACCGTCAGCTGGTGGCGGGGCAAAGACCAGTTCTACACCTACAAGGGCACCAACATTGACCCCAAACACGCTTACACCTTCAACGGTATACAGGTTAAGGTAGGTATACATGTGTGTGTGTGTGTATGTGTGTGTGTGTGTGTGTGTGTGTGTGTGTGTGTGTGTGTGTGTGTGTGTGTGTGTGTGTGTGTGTGTGTGTGTGTGTGTCTGTGTGTGTGTGACTTGAAACAAGAATGAAATATATATCAATAACGTGTATGATTTTCAACAACAGGCATGCTCTCTCTCTCTCTCTCTCTCTCTCTCTCTCTCATAATACCTGTATCTCCTTCCCTCCCTCTCCACATATACATTCTATCCACCTCCATACCCCCTCCTCTCTCTCTCTCTTTTATCCATCCAATTACTAATCCACATTAATTATTCCTCCCTCCGCCCATCCATCCGTCCGCCCGTCGTCCCAACAGAAGGATGAGTCTACGGAGGAGTCTGTGGTGCTGGAGAATGTCTCAGAAGACACCTCGGGCCTCTATAAGTGCGAGGTGATGGGGGAGGGACCCGCCTTCAGAACAGCTGTCGAAACTAAGACGATGACTGTAATAGGTGAGTGTGCATTTATGGGGGAGGAATGGGTGGTGGTATTCGAGGGGTAATAATGGGTGTTGTTTGGTTAGGTTAGGTGCATTAGGGGAGGAGGGGGGGGGATGGGGTAGAATGGGTGTAAGATGTAAGGGTGAGAATGGGTGAATAGGGTGTAAGACGTAAAACTGAGAATGGGAGAAAACATAAAGGACTTGATAGGGGAAGAATGGGTGTATGGGTGACAATTGGGTTAAAGGTGTAAGCAAGAAATGGGTGAAACATGAAGGAGGTGATGGGGGATGGGGAGAACACAAACACCTCAATAACCATCACCCACAAATACTCCCCCCTCACCCCACCATAACCAACACCCACAAATACTCCCCCATAACCCTCACCCACAAATACTCCCCCATAACCCTCACCCACAAACACCCCCATAACCTCAAGGTGATCACACAAACCCATAGCACTGATCTACCAAACTGTTCCTTCATGCACATTACATCATCACACGTAATTGGTGGAGAGCCAAGTTACCGCACAGTGGGATTTGCGTTATTGCCACATTGCATTCGCGAGGGGATTTTGGCGATGTGATTCTCATAAATTTGGCGAGAAGATTCATTAAATTTGGCGGGATGATTCATAAATTTGGCGAGACTATTCATAAATTTGGAGACGGTGATTCGTAAACATTTGGCGTGGCGTATAAAAACTTAGTGAGATGATTTATAAAGTTGGCGATGTAATTTACATATTTGACGGGATGACATAAATATAACGAAATGTTCAATAATTCTGTGAGGTAACTAAAAAAACAGCTGAGTGACTTAACACCTAATCCTTAACTCACTCACTCCCTGTAGACACTCCGCCTCCTTTACTCACACAATTCATTAAAGAGAATAAAGAACATTACAATATAATAAAGCAAAATACAATACACGAGTATAATTCAATACACCAAATACAATGTAACCAAAGATTACAATAATACCAAATAATACAACACAATACAATATAATACTAGTATATCATACAAAACAAAGCATACAGCAGCAAAATTTAGTACAACAGAATACAGTATAATACAAGAGGACCTCCCTGGGTTCCACGAGTAATATACAGTAGTCATAACTCATTTAAACCAACTCCACACATTGTCAACCTTACCCCCTCCCCCCTCCTCCTTCACCCCTCCTCCTTACCCCCTCCTCCTTCACCCCTCCTCCTTCACCCCTCCTCCTTCACCCACACACCTAACTAGCCTTCACTCTCTATTTTTTTTTTTTTTACTCCCTCTCAATTATGACTCTTGTTTCAACTTCGTTCAGCGACGTGTGGGAATTCTGGGATAAGTTCACAGTCATAAATTCTCCAGCTTTAATTTCCCGTGTGATGGTAAGCATTTTCTTCATCGACTTGTTTTATCTAAGAATTCTTGTGGATCTACAAATGCTGGCTGTCCCTTCAACTCCCATAAACACTACGAGAGAATTAGATTAAGTTCTAAGGCTCGTAAATTACGTAATTATGTCTTCGCCGTGCTTCAGAATTTCCTCAGCGTAATTTTAACACGAATATCAGATGAATCAAGAATTTTTTTGTCAACTGCCAAGGACAACAAAACGGAATTTGATGAAGTTCCAATGTTTGTAAATTCTCTAGTGCGCGTCTTCCGTCAAGTTTCGCATTTTCTTGGCAACTAATTTATATAGAACATAAAAATTCTAGTGGACCAATATTTACTGCACTTTCTAATTCCTTTATCAACATAAAAGAAGACGGATAAATTCACAGACCATAACAGCCTTTAACTACATCTAATAAATTACATTAAATATTCCAAAACTCATAAATTCTATATATTAATGACCCATAGAAAATTAATAAACTCCCATACATCATCTTCATAGTGTACAGAAAAAAAAGCTAAATAAAAAATCCTAGATATGGTAACCAAAACAATCTAGAAATATGGCATCCTAGACAATATTTGTCTATAACACCCAATATAAGACTATGGCAAGGCTAGACAATACAATAGCATGAAAAATCAAGAAAATATGGCAACATAGAAAAAATATATGTGGTAACTAGGATAACATAGCAAAATGGCAACCAAGGAAATATATCAATATGACAATGGACAAAATCGAAGCAAATCTGACCGCTGGACGAAACTTACATACGGTACATATTATATTGTACCAGTACTGACCACACCAATGTTTACTCTTCGTTAAACCATATTGCGATGATTTTTTTTACGGATTACTCTATGTCTGAGGCCAAAAAGAAAATTATACCAGCATGACATCGGACAAAATGGCACCAGATCTGACCAGTGGACGCAGAGACAGCCGGACACATCCCACACGGCCGCCGGCGTTCATTTGGAGGGCGAGATTGGCAGTAGAATACACCTCTCACTGCGGTAATGCCCTCGTTAAGCCTGGCTGACTCAACCACACCCCCCCCCCCTACGGTTCTGTGGTTCTACTGGTAGTGGTGGTGGTAGTTATGGTGACAGTGGTTCTCAGACACCATTGCTGGTTTATGTTGGTTCTGACTTAAAAATCCCCATAATGACGCTAAAGAACCTGGTTGGTATTATTGTGATGCTGATAGTGGTTCTCAAACACCACTGTTGTGTTCATGCTGCTTCACTACTTCCACGCACACATTATTTTCAGTTCAATCCTACTGACAACACCTATAGGCTCACAGTGCTGGACTTCACCATCACACACACACACACACGAGTAATATAGGGGAATAGGTTATATGTTCAGTAATTGACACGCCCCTCCTATCTCTGGGGCGCGCTGGACCAGTAACCCCACCTTCTTGTATTCGGGTACTAAAAAAAAAAAAAAAGTGTGAACATGCACGTAAGTAATGACAGTGAGAAGGTATGAATGACTGTAAATGTGATGTGTAAGGATCCACCACGTCCTGATTTTACGTTAAACTGTAGAGCAAAGAAGGGGTCAACTGGGGACAGGTGACGGGAGTAGAGTGTGGTGGTATTGTTGTGTAAAGAAACACGGTGATGTGTGATAAATATAAGAGAAACAGTTCCAGAATATTATGGATGATATCAAAAATATCGAGTGCATGATCTGTATACAATAGGAAATGAGAAGAACTACGAGGAAAGTCAGAGGTTCTAGGAAGACCTGATGACTGTACAAAAAGCTTTAGTGTGAGATATAGTGATAATAATAGAAAATTTAACTGCAAGATCTAGTACTAGAGAAGAGAAGAGGATTGTTGGTGAAATAATGATGCACCAGGAATGAACGGTAATATAGAAAGACTGATACAAATACATGCTGAAAGAGGGTTGAAAGTAAGGAATAAATGGTTCAAAAGGGAACAAATTCACAAGTCTACCTGGGGGCAATTTAAGTCTACCTGGGGGCGGGATAACAGAGGAGAAAAAGGTTTGTTTGACTACGCTTTGGTGGGCGTAAAAATAAAACATAAGTCGACTTTTTTGAAGTATTACGAGGGGCGACACGTGGAGTCTTTGACCATTATGTGGCAGAAGTGAGATAAATAGTGAATGGAAGGCTCAGGCAGCAAAAGAATCATACGAGTGCGAAGAAACTTAACAAATTCATAAGTTAATGAATGAAGGTGAGGACGTGTATAGGGAGTCTTGAAGAGGTGTGTGGGAGCAGGATAACAGTGTGTGTGTGTGTGTGTGTGTGTGTGTGTGTGTGTATTTTGCACTTACAAGTCATAGTTCCCTCGACATAAGCAATTCTCAGTTCACAAGAAAGCTGACATTGATTTACATGAACTGACAAACCGGAATAGTTAATAAATATACCATGATGTACTGTGCGTCAGTTCTGGGATCAACCTCGGTGTTTCAACTACGACTTGCAATATGTTACGAATGAATGCAAATAACATTCTTTTGTGGTCGTTGAATAGCGAGAACCTATAATATAACTACACAACTATGGTATACTCCATCAATTACAAGCTGCCCAACAACAGCCGATGGACTCACATTATAAGATAAATGGTAATTTTCTTTGTCACTAAACAGGAAAAAGTTTTAAAATTATAGACCTATGGTACTTCACATTCCACAAGGTCACCAGGAAATACAAAAGGTGGTCGGGGGATGTATGGAGAGCATGAGTAACCAATCTTCACTACGCCTGTTGCTATACGCATAATAGAGTTCCATTCGTTTGTCCTAGTAAGTTATATTCCCCATTTGTGGTTGGGTTGGCTTAAGGGAAGGGAAGGCTTTAAGTAGTTTAGGTGATTTAAAGTGTTGGGCTGCTTTAGGGGTGGGTCTTCCTTTAAGGGTGGGACTGGCTTTAGGGGTGGGTCTTCCTTTAAGGGTGGACTGGCTTTAGGGGTGGGTCTTCCTTTAAGGGTGGGACTGGCTTTAGGGGTGGGTCTTCCTTTAAGGGTGGGACTGGCTTTAGGGGTGGGTCTTCCTTTAAGGGTGGGGCTTTAGGGGTGGGTCTTCCTTTAAGGGTGGGACTGGCTTTAGGGGTGGGTCTTCCTTTAAGGGTGGGACTGGCTTTAGGGGTGGGTCTGCCTTAAAGGATCGGGCAGGCTTCACGGAAGAAGCTAAGTTTAAGGAACAAGCTGGCTTAGAGAGGTCAAACAGGCTTTAGGGGTCTGCAATTATTGTTCTTCATTAACAGTAAACAGAATCTCAGTGTAATGGTGACGCCGTCTGTGTGTCGCGTACCACCAGTCACGAGGGAACTAAACAATAGTGTTTGTGAGACAGGCAAGTACTCAGATGGATAAACGGATAGTTAAATAGATCGGGATGTGTACTGATAGATAGGTCAGCAGATTAAAAAATTTGCATAGATGGATAGATAGATATTAAAACTTCAGATAGATAGGCTGGTATTGAGATAAGTAGATATACATTTTCACAATTAGATACTGTAGAGACGTAGACAAAAGGTATAACCATATATCAATAAATGTAGAGATAGATAGATAGATAGATAGATAGATAAATATTTATATAGATAGATAGATATTTAGATAGACTACTGCAGCCACTAACACCCCACGTTCACCCCGGCAGTCCCACCTAAACAAGTGGACCTCAGCGCCTGGTCCAACCCGGATCCACTGACTTACCGCTCCGGGGACATGGTAGAGATTAACTGCACCGCGACAGGTGCCAAGCCCAAGGCCAATATTAAGTGGGAGATCAACGATTTACCGGTGAGCTCTCTCTCTCTCTCTCTCTCTCTCTCTCTCTCTCTCTCTCTCGATACAAATATACTCACGGTAAATAGTCAGGAGTTTAAAGGTCTCCCCAATTTCATTCACCCCCCATGTTGTTGACAGTGACCTTTAACTTAATGTCAACACGCTCACTGAATGGTGCATGTTTAATATCGGATTCCCTTTAACTGATTTACTCTTTATCTCAAATTATTTTTGTATCGTCTGTATTGGAATTCTTTTTCTTCTTCTCCTTCATCTATATTTCTCTATCTGGTATTATTATTTCGTGTTTTTAATCCTCTTTATTCCTCTGTTTGTCTGTCTCACATTCTCTCTCCTCTGTATACGTATCCATACAAATATATACGTGTCATTCCATAATAACAGCCACCCAGTCTAATCATCACCCAAATCGCCCACCATCGGAACAACAACCCAAACCAACCACCACCGCCCTAACTAACCACCACTCAAATTAACCACCAACCAAACTAACCACCACCCAAATTAACCACCACCCAAATTAACCACCAACCAAACTAACCACCACCCAAACTAACCACCACCCAAACTAACCACCACCCAAACTAACCACCACCCAAACTAACCACCACCCAAACTAACCACCACCCCCGCCACTTCCCCAACAGGTCAAAGAGCGTAATCTGATGAAGTACTCAGATTTTGAGGACAGTCGCGGCCGTGTGACCTCCAAATTGGGACTTCGTTGGAGGGCGCCCGACTACTTCCGCAACAACCTGGCTCGGGTCACGTGTATTGCCATGGTCGGGGGTCACGCTACCAGGGGCTCCAAGAACATCTATCTTGACCCAGCCTCCAGTGCCGCCTTCAATCATCAATTTGGGGCTGCAGGTGAGTTTTTTTTTTAAGTGTTTTGAAGGTCATCACATTTTTAAAGTGGTTGAAGTTCTTTTTTTTTTAAGTGATTTTGTTTTGCGATTTTGGTTAGAGATTTTTAAGGGGGGTTGGAGGTTATGTTTCTTAAGGTATTTTGGAGGTTAAATATTTTTTGGGGGTTTCGGATTCTTATTTTTTAAGGATATTTTGTAGGTTGGTTGTTTGGAAGGGGTTTTGAATGTTTTGAATGTTGGATTTTTAAAGGAGTTTTGGAAGTTACTTATTTCAATGTGGTTTTCGAGGAGGAAACTGCGCAATGGTGTGGTTTTGAAGGTAAAATTTAACCACTTAATCAGTTTTGAGAATAATACTAATTTTCCACATAAATAAATCACATGACGACTGTACAAAACCTGCAGGAAAAAATAATTTCCATTACAACTATACAACAACTGGTGGGAAATATCACAATAATATAACCAACCAAAGAATAATTTCCATCACAATTAAAACACCCAATGGAAAATGATCCTTTGTTTAATAAAAGCACAACAGTTTGCAGGTAAAAAATGCACAAATACACTTGAAAACACATTTATTTTGATGATGACGAAGAAAAAAGATTGAGAGGACTAATCTACCCCCTGTGTGGACGTGGTAATGAGGTTATGTACCCGCTTGTAATTATCTGCCACACATTTCACCTCTGCATTCTAGTAACTCATCTCGTGGGGTATTTCGTTAGGTAGGTTCAAGTGTCTTCCCTAACTCGGTGTGGGTCGCGTAGGTGATACTGAGAGTGTGAGGGTGTGAGTGAGAGGAGGGTGAAGGAGTTAGCTAAAGTGAACAAAAACTAAGGGCAGGGAAGCAAGCTAGGGTGAGGGAGCTAGCTAGTGACGTGCCAGCTAAAAGGCGAGACAAACAAGTTAGGGTAAGGAGCTAGACTTAGGGTGATAGCTTACAGCAAGACTCGGCCACAGTCACTTATTTAGAGGCGACGCAGGTCAGGTACCCCCAAGACAAGTTAAGAATGCCGGGGCTGCCTCACTCTTCCTCCCCTCTCCACCCCCTCTTCTTCTCCCCCCTCCGCCTCCTGCATCCCCAGGTATAAATATCAACTCAGGCGGGTTATCTTGTTGTTCTTCCTCCTCCCCCTTCTCACTTCTCTCCCCCTCTTTCTTCCTCCTCCACCATTTCTCCCTCTTCAACCTCAGCTCTCTTCCTCTCCCTCTCTCTTCTTTATCCACCCCCCCCCCGTCGCTTCTTCCCCATCCCCCTCCTCCTTCGCTTCTCCCCCTCCCCTCCCTCACCCACAGGTACAGACACAGGTACTAGTACAGACACTTATCAACACAGAAACTATAACACAGGATCAAGTACACCTACATATATCAGAGGAAATTACAGCAAAGGTACAGATTCAGTGACTACAAAAGGACACCACACACAAGCATCTCTTCACGATGATCAGTGGACCTAACCTAACCTAAACTTAGTGTCGTTTATAAGGCCATCGCGTGCATGTATAGACAATAGAGTTACTTGTCAAAAATTCTCTCACATCTAAACCGTACACCGCCTCACCATCTCCCATTAAGGTGGCGACTATTAATTAATGAAGTACAGGTTCGTATTTAATTAACTGGTATATATAAAAATATATATATTCATGACTAGAGAGCATTATTTTTTAACTTATTTGCGATAAAAGGTTTGGATTTCAATAAATTATCTGGGGATTTTAATGACTTTTCCATAAAACTGTCCGGATTTTCTGTACGAATTGTAATATTTTAGTGAAGGCGATGGGCTACGGGTGGTCATTTTATTAAGTGAGTCAGACAGTTCTTTGACTGACTGACTGACTGACTGACTGACTGACTGACTTACTGATTGATTGATTGAATAAATATCTCATTACTTAACTGCTTGATATTGACTAACATATACTCACTCACTCACCACATCACCAACTGACTGATGCACTGAGAAAATTTTTGACCATCTTTCTCTGATCCTACCCCACGACTAAAGATATCTTGAAACCTTCTTTATTTATTCCGTTTAATGCCTATTTAGAACGACCTTTCTTTAGCACACGTGAATGTCATCCCGGAGAAGCAAGATGCATTATTCACCAGGGAGAGTTAGTAAAGAAGGCAGAGTAGTGAGGTCTGTCTGAGCGCTTTTGGGACAACCCTGATTTAAATATACGCTTAACAGGTACCAGCTACACCAGGTAACAAAGGTGATATTTTATTTCGGGTTGTGGAGGGAGGCGTGGGAGATGTGTTGGTATGGGGGTGTGTGGGCTGTGTTGGTGAGGTGTTGCGGGTGGAGAAGGATGTTGGGGTGTGGGGATGGGGGGTGAAGAAGGGTGTTGGTGTGGAGGAGGGTGTGTTGGGGAAGATGAGGGGGAGTTTTGGGGGAAGAGGAGAGGATAAGGGTAGCAAACTAGTTTCATTTTCAGGGGTAAGCCAGGTTAGGGGTAGGTTAAGTTAGGATAGGTGTAAGTATAGTAAGTATGGTCTAGCTCTAGTTGTGCTAGATTAGTTTTCGAAAAGTTAAGACAGGTTAGGTTGGGTTAGGTTAAGGTTCTAGGTCCGATCCAAAAAATATAGTTAGTTTCAGTTTGGTTCCTCGCTTCGCTAGATCAACAGAACTAAACACAGACTCTTCACTGTCTATCATTGGTGGCATCGACAAACCTTTGAGCGAATAAACAATGTGCTCAAAATCAGGTAATGAGTTAGCGAATGAGACGGGGCCAAGTTTGGAATACTTTTGTTATTTGTGAAATATGAAACTTGAGGTCATGTTCTAAGGTAGCTGGTCAAATGGGACCCCAGTCTTAATAGTCTCAATCTTACAGGCCCTCAACCAATCATAATCGGCCCCATCCTACATGACCTATTGGAATGCTGCCCAGACCTATTACGCCCAAGTTCTACTGTAATAGGTCAAACCTGATTAAACCATCTCGTTTGGGGTTGAGTCCTGTTGGCACTAGTCCAAAGGTGCCTTAACCCAACTAAGCCGCCATCGTAACTCGCAATGATCTAACGGGCTAAGTTAGGTTACACTAAGGTCTATCAGGACTGACGCCAATTTGTCTTCCAAACAATTCTACGATTCAACAGGTCTCAGAAAGTTTTATCCATTCGTGATATTACTGAAATTTCTGGTAAATCAGGAGTGTAATAAAAAAAATCCAATTACCTTAAGTTTAGACACTCTAGTTTATTTCACTTGAACATTAACTCCTAACCTAACCTAAACTAACTTAACCTACCCTATAGATTTTCTACTCATGTAGCGTTATGACTTTATGGTGATTAATCTTGAGGTGAAATAAGCTTGGGTGCCTAATCTTCAAGTGATCCTCAATTTCTTTAGATCTTTAAAAAGATATCGAATTATCTTGCAAACTATTAAGTGTGTTTTTCGCTCATAAATCTTATGTTTCAATTGTATAGTTTTAGTGTATTATTATTATTATTATTATTATTATTATTATTATTATTATTATCAATCCCACGATTCCCACATACACAAACATACACACCCACCTACACGTGTACAAAATGTTGTTATTGCTTACCCTGGACCAGCTGGTGTCAAGCCCCCACAATACCCCTCCCCTCCCCCCCCCTCCACATCCTCCGCCGGCTATTCTCAACTCGTCTCCACCTGACTTACATTCTGACTTATTCTTGTTCCCTCAGGAAGTCAGCTGCCAACCACCTGGACCATCCTGAGCCTCGCGTCCATCCTCATCGCCCGAAGTTTCCCCTAGGACGAGGAACTTACTAAAACACAACACGAGGAGGAAGATCGAAAAGGATGACGAAGATAAAGAGGGAAGCAACGCGAGGTGGACTACCTCCCCCTCCCTGCCTGTATGTTTTAGGTTCTACTTGAGCACAATTTTGGATTCTAGGGAAAGAAAAGGTTGAGGGAAATAGGAAGTGCACACGCAGGGATGAGTTCCCTCCGCCTCCACAGCCTCGTGGTAGGACCTCATGACAGAGCGCCATCTTGGGCCTCAGGAGGAGAAGGGGTTTAAGAAAACAACGAAGGACATAAACACGAGGTGGAATCTACGTGTCGTCTTTCTTCCATCAGTCCTTCTCTGTTGAGTCTCATACATACAACACCTTCTTGAGGGTGACCAAGAAGATAAAAACAAATGATAAATAAGACAACAACGAATTATAAAGATGGCGAAAATAAAGACGAGAAGAACAAACACGAGATGAAATTCACATACTGCGGCTTCTTCCACTTCAGCAGGACCTCAGGACCACCATCTTGGAGACGAAGTGGGGGAATAAAAGGGTGCGGCTTCTTCCTCTTCGACTCAAGCTCAGCTAGATAGGACCCTCACCAATTTGAAGTTGGTAAGGAATAATAACACACGAGATTGATATTGAGTAAGATAAAGACTTGCCATGAACATAAGCTGTAAAAGGGGGATGGAGAAGAGCCAGCGTGCGTGTGCGTCTCCCTGGTGCTTGTGTTTTAGGTCGCTTGACTGCTGCTGTGTTTCCTTGTGTGCTCCTGCCTGCCTCTGGCGTCGCTCTCTCCAGGTCGTGATTTATTCCTGCCAGTGTGAAAGACAGTGGGAACGCGTCGTTATCCTGCACCTCATGAATTTATTTCTCGAACGCTTCGAAAGTGACGATTGTAACCCGCAAGAGCTCGGTGCACCAGGTGTATTTTACCTGTCTACGCCGCACCACCATTGTGAATAAGGTGGCTTTCCTGGCAATCTTTGTTGGGGTTATAAACCGTAAAGCCTCACTGGACAAGGTTTATTTCTTCTAAGGCTGTATGTCGTAAGAACACACTAGCAAAGGTATATTTCCTTGAATATATAGCGCTGGATGTATACGTCTTAAGTGGAGGTTTGGTATGATGACAGCGAGTCTCGATACATCCATACTGGATGGGGCTGATAGCCCAGTAGACTGGCAGTTGTCTGGGTCGTGGTGTCCTCAGGAGGAAGAGAAGAATCAGCATTGCATATATTACAAGAGAGCTTCAGTTTTACTTTAAAGGGTGATCTATTTCACAGTGAGCTAATAAACTTTTTTTTCTTTCCCAGATCATATCTGCCCTGGAGGCTCTGTCGTGGTTATCTCTTTACAAATGATCCTAAATCCCAACACACAAAAAAGAAACAATTATATAACTGAGACCCTAGTATGCATATAACATTCTACCATATGTGTTTTTCTTTCCAAATTTTTATGGATCCAATGATAATTGAAAGCAAAATAGCTTTATTTACTAAAATTATTTCTACGTTCGAATTTATTATCTATATGCAAAATATTATCAATCATTTAATATATCTGGAGTATTAAAGATTGATTATGTTGAATTTTTAGTATCTATTTCGGCCTTTGGTTACATTACACCTGAAAATCCCAAATGACAAAACTCCCCCATTATTTCCACATGGATACAGTCCAGATGAAATACCCCCAAAAAACTTTACATTCAAACTAAATGTTATGTTCCTCTTGTTTACTGTGTTACTTAGAGGACCCGTAATTAGTTACACGGCTTATCGTAATTGAGACTCACTATCACTCGGTACCCGGACAAGGAACCAAACCAAACTGAACTGAACTAAAACTAACATATCCTAATCAAACCTAACCTCCCTTAATCTAATATAAGCTACCTTAACCTTATCTAACCTCTCTTAATCTATCTTAACCTACCGTAACCAAGCTGACCTTAATCTAATTTAACGTAACCGAACCTAACCTAACCTAACCCTTTCCAATCAAACTTTAATCTAACTGAACTAACCTAAACTAACCTAATCTAACCTAACCTATTTTAACTTAATCTATCCTACCTCTAGCATGACTTGAATGGATTAGTTAAGGCCCGTCGTCATTTCCCCATCCAGACCTCACACACACACACACACACACACACACACACACACACACACACACCGCCTGTACTCGCTTCTGCCTCGTTATCATCAAGCACCGCCACCGACATACACTTCTGTGGTGTTTTCCTTTGTCGTTGAGTACTTGCTGCTTCAGGACACACTCACTACACACACTATACACACACTTACAGTAATACACACGCTATACACACTTACAGTAATACACACACTATACACACACTTACAGTAATACACACGCTATACACACTTACAGGAATATACACACTATACACACTTACAGGAATATACACACTATACACACACTTACAGTAATACACACACTATACACACACTATACACACACTTACAGTAATACACACACTATACACACACTTACAGTAATACACACGCTATACACACTTACAGGAATATACACACTATACATGCTTATAGTAATGCACACGCTATAGTCACTTACAGTACTATACACACAGTAATACACACGCTATATATACCTACAATACAACACAAATTTGTCTGTACATGCTATACACATACTTACTATACACACTTAACAGACACCCTTACTATATACATTTATTCCACACATTACACTCATACTTTACACCTTAACCTACTACACACTGACTACTACTTTACCTTACTATACACTTTAATCTACTACTACACACACACACACACACACACACACACACACACACACACACACACACACACACACACACACACACACACACACACACACACACACTTTAACCTACTCAATACTTGACACACACTTCCTAACTTCTCCCGGCCTCAAGATCTTTCTCTCTGGTTCCTGTGTTGATATATAAAACAACTTGATACTCCAGTCTTACTTATAAAACAGAACTTATTGGCTCGTTAAGAATGATAATTATTACAGGACTTAAGAGCTCGACATAAGAGAGAAAAAAAAATTATTGGCTCATCTTTAGTGAAAAAAATTATTAGCTCAGGAGTACAATAATAAAAAGTATTGATTCAGTAACAGAGAGAGAGAAAAAAACAATAGAATTTCATTGCTGGGAAGTCAATGCAAACCCCAACATTTCGCATGGGGCCTGAGACATAAATTTTCGAACAGTTGTCTAGAGAGAGAGAGAGAGAGAGAGAGAGAGAGAGAGAGAGAGAGAGAGAGAGGAGTTGAGTCGACGTGAATAAAAGAGAGACAGACACTGAGGGTTTGGATGAACAATTCCGAGAGACGAAAAAATTGCCACGAAAAAAGAACACGTGTCTAAAAGTTTGGTGAACAGTGCCAAGTGAGACAAAAAAAAGATAGTGTAAAGCATCTGGTGAGCAATTTTAAGAAACAAGAGAGCAACTAAAACGCCAAAAACAGACAATTAACAGGAAGATATTGTGATAAGTGAACATTTATAGGTGAGAAAATAATTAAGTGCCACGTGTAGAAAATTTGAAACTCACATGAAAACATTTTGATGGACATTTCTATAAGTGAGAAATAAAGAAAAGTGAAACATCTAGTAAACTTTAAAGACAAGACATGAAAGAAAATGTCACATATAGAAAATCTCACAGGAAAAAATTATGAACATCTTTGAGCGAGACAAGAATAATACATTCTATGATAACATACTGAAATATCTCCGAGATATTTTCATATACAGATAAATAAAATGCCAGGGCACTTACAGGTCTACTTAATATTTTAATTTAGGATAAATGCCACAAATGCCACACATAATTCCAGAGAAGATCTTAATATGAAAATAACCCAAACAAAATCGTATTTATAATGTGTGAAAATTTAAAAAAAAAATTTAAAAATTACAGAAAATATTTGAATGTAAAAAAAAAATATCAAAAGCACATTTTAAGTTCCAGAGATTTTTAGTGTGGAAAAATGCCACAAAAACAATGAAAGCTCCAGTGAACAAATAAATGTGGAAAAATGCCAAAATTAATTCAGAATTCCAGGAGATTTCCACTGGATAGAAATATAAAATACCATATATACATTTAAGGATTTACTGAAGCCATTTCGACATGAGAAAAATGACCGAAAAAGACAAAAACTGTTAAGAAGAAAATGCTTCAGTGTGTGTGTGTGTCACTCATCACAACATGTTCCTATGTACAACTGAGCGTTAGCTTGTGAAACCGTGTGTGTTTGTTTGTCTGTCTGCTAAGAGAAGTAAGAAAGTAGACTTCATGAACATTACAGACACAGACGACACACCTTAAAACTTTAGATGAAAAGAAATCGTTGGTGAGAAACAGGAAACAGAGTTAATTACAGAAAACTGTGAGAGACAACATATGTTGCCACACATAAAAACGTTGTTAGACACAGAAACGTTGTGAGGTGTTTTACATATGAACGGAGTGAGACAGAAAACGTGGTGAGTCAGAATAAACGTATACACAGCAAACTTTGTGAGGCATATTTAATGTTGTGATACAGAATACATAGTGAGTATCTATATAAGAACATTGTGAGATTAGTAAATAATAGGAGACACTGTCAGTGTAATTATGTACTCATAGAATGATGTGAGGCATAACATCTGTTGTGAATCATTGAAAATGTTGTGACAAAACAATATGAGTTATGAGAACGTTGTGAAACAAAGCATATGTTCTGAGTGTATTCATATAGATGTCGAGAGGCGTATCTACAGTATACACCCTAAGCGGAGCGAGGCATAGAAAACGCTGTGTCAACGTATATAAGGATATGTACCCACAACTGCTTTACCCGTTGATATACGCGTAGGGATAAGCACTGTGTATAGAAACACTAATGAAACGATTGGTAACCTTTGCAAAGAAGGAATTTGACTTTCGAAGGGGCGCCATTGGAGAAAATCGTGGAATAAATTGACAGTCGTTGAGGTTTCACTAGAAAAATAGTGAAATTAGTAGAGGTACCGCTGAAAAAATGGTGACCTTAGGTAAGGCACCAATGGAAAATTTTTGACTTTCTGAGGGGTACCACCAGAAAAATTATGACCTATGTAGAGATATCAGTGCAAAGAGTGGTGACCTGTGTAAGGATACCAATTTAAAAAATTAGCAACCTTCTTTGAGGTACCACTGAAAAATTAATTCTTCCTACCGATACCACTGGATAAAAGGTGATATCCCTATGTAAATGCATCAATGTAAAAATGGAATGGTGGTTACATGGCTACTTCGCGTTACAACTAGAGAATAAAGCTTGTCTAATCTGAGAAAGAATATTTAATTTTATTTAAAAAACGAGCTGAAAGATAATAAAATAATGTGTTACGAGGGGTGAAGAAAAGTAAAATTAAAATTTAATAAAAAGATGGATTGCAAATAAAGAGAAAGGGAAATTAACGATAAAAGAATATGTAAAATGTGAAACAGAAAGGGAATAAAACAGCCAATGAAAAAGTTACAAAAATGTGACACAAATATTAAGAAAAGATCAAAATATGACAAGAGACGTACTGTAGTAACAAAATATAACACAGAAGAAATCGAAAAAATATGACACAAAGGCTTGTTGAAAAAATGTGCCACTGACACACTTAAGGATAAACATGACACAGAAATATACGAGAAATGTGACCGGAAAATTATAATTCACGAACATCACACAAACAAGAAATCAAGTTACAGTCACGACAACAACAAAAATATAAATAAAACGGCGAAGGTAAAACAGAAAAAAAAGAATATGAAGGAGAAAGAGGAAAACAGAGGAGAATAACAGACAAGGATAACAGAAGGGAAGGGGTCAGGTTGCAACAGAATTAACACTGAATAAAAATAAAAGGCACGTATGACATTATGTTAATAAGAGGCAGCGAGTGATGCGGTAAAACGGTTATTACTGAAGTGTGAGAGGTAAATGAGCTCTATAAGCGGCGTTTAGTATACATATACCTGCATACGTTTAAAGTGTTATTCTAAAGGCAAGGGCGAGGAGGGAGGGAAGGAAGGGGGAGGGAAGGAAGTGGGAGGGAAGGAAGGGGGAGGGAAGGAGGGAAAAGAACTGAAATGGCTATGCTTCTTCCTCTCTCTTATGAAATTGAACTGGATAATTTATCTTTATTTATATACATTACTGAATTTAATAGGTTCTGACGGAAGATTCATATTGTTTTATCAAGGAGGTAAAAATATCCTATGTCAGTATTTTACGTATTAATAAACTCATTCTCTTATTTACTCCGGAAAATCCCCCAGTCATTTAGAAGAGAGCAAAATAACCATGTCTCTCTTGAACGCAAAATTCCTCCGTGTTTATTTTGTGCATTTATGAATTCTTTCCATGGACTGTGGTTAACAAGTGATACTACACATTGACCTAACAGATAGACAAGAGGATAACTTTTTGCTAAGCAGTAATTCAACGAGAAACCTTTAGAAGAAAAAAAACTTGTCTTGCTGTTACGTGATATGGATTTGTGTTTTTATTCTATATAGCATTAAATTATTTCCCCTGGTAGTGATGAAGGGTTCGTAATATATTTAGTTTGATAATTAGTGAGGAGAAGGGTGAGAGGTGTTACTCCAAGGCAGGCAGAGAGCTGGGAATAACATTGAGTTTTGTGAACGTAATATTCATTTACGTTCTTATTGGTGCGTTAGTATGTTCTTCCTCTGTTCTTATCGGTGCACTAGTGAGTTCTTCCTCTGTTCATATCGGCGCGCTAGTGAGTTCTTCCTCTGTTTCTAATGGTGCGTTAGTCAGAACAGTTTCACAATACATTTTAGCAGAAAATTTATTGTAAAAAAAAAATATCTATTCCAAGGAAAATTTAGTTCTAAAATAATATTTGTTCTTATGTAACTAAAACAGATTTTTTTTCTCATGTGTGCAGTCATGTATACTTTCTTCTCGGTGCAAAATTAAATTCCTCTATATTTGTTAAACAAGAGATCACTGTAGGAAAACTTATCAGAATAATTATTTCAAGAATGATAGGAAATTGTAAAAATTCTGTCTCTTGTAAAGTTGAAATGGAAATGCGACTTCATCTAAGTAATAATGAATTCTTTCCATTGGTTCTGATGGATCGACTCATACTATATAATGCAGGAGATCAGACGAGGGAAGATTGAGAGTGATTCTAAAGCAGAGAGAAAGCTGAACTAATTTTGTCTTGTGTGTGGGGAGAATCCAAATCTGTTATTACTTGTGCAATCGTGCATTCTCTCTTTGCACTGAAGTATATAAATTCTACGC